AATTACTTTTGAGTGAATAAACCGATTTTCACGCGGTCTGTAGCAATCAACGCAGTTTTCCAATCCCTATGATTTACTTTTACATACAACTTGCAAAAAAATTTATTCATGGTAATATGTGTAGTTTCGACTCAAATACACTGGAGTACTCATCATTATTGCAATACTCAGTATATTTTACCATATACTACCATATGGCCATTATTAAATCACTAGCTCCAATAAATACGAACATCACGTATATTGCGCGATGTACAAATAATTTCCAGCATATCATGACGCATGTTAGTTTCTCAGAGAATAGTAACTTAATCACTCAGGAGATTTTTATAACTTCTTATGCACATAAAATCCATCATTTCACAAATGACCCGAGAAAAATTTGATATATGGCTCATTTCACCAAATAAATACAATTTTATGTCAAAAGCCTAGAAAAGTTATCTCTTTAAGCTCAGAGAGCTTAAAATAACACATAAATGGTATTTTTGAGTTCGGAGAGTTGAAAAGCATCATTAGTGCAATTTTAAGCACCTAGGTATGAAATGAGCGGGAAGTTGCACGGATGGCCTTCAGGGTCTACCGTTTTTCTAATTTTTTTTATTTAAATAATCATCATTCGTTATAAAAGTAAAATCAACGACTGTAAAATTCTTTATTGTCCAGGAATGCAAATCTTCTGGTGTCAGTAGGGGAAGGGGGGGGGGGCAAAGTGGACCCCCCCTAAAATTTAGGACTTAAAATTTTGGGGGCAGAGTAGGCCCCCTGAAATTTTTTTTACAAAAGGTGAACAATAAATCATTTATACTTTTGATAATGATTAAAAGTGGTTTTTGTCAAAAAAATTGTCATTGATTCTAAAAAGTAAGAAAAAGAAATGAAACGATCGGTTCGTCAAATTTTGCCATATTGCTTCTTTGTAAAGGGTAATGAGAAACAAAGACTAAAAGAAAAGAGATAAGTCAATAGGTTCATTCACAGTGAAGCTACACGCTTTTTCATAATAAAAAATAGCAGATTATTGATGGAACGATTTTATTAATTTTTAACTTCTCGCTAAAAAAATTGAAAATTTTCAAAAATCGGGAAGTTATTGGTTTTACCCCGTTTTTCGAAAATCGAGTTTTCATCAGATCTCGACGTTTTGAGGTCCTAGGAAGCTTCTCTGACTATTACCGCGAGGGTGTCACTATGTCTGTGTGTGTGTGTGTTTGTTTTTTTTTTTTGCAGAACCTACGGACGCGAACAACGACTATGTCTGTGTGTGTGTGTGTTTTTTGTTTTTTTTTTTTTTTTTTTATAGAGGAGGTAAAATACGTTTACGTATGCCAGGACTTGGTATTGGTGCCAGGACTAGGTGTTGGTGCCTGGGTGTGTCGGACTCAGAAGTCAATATTATTTTGCAACAATACCGACTAAACATCCTCCTCTCTCCTTTCCCCATAGATGTTACAGGGAAGACTGGAACGGGACCGCCTTAGCATTACTTCAATCCAGTCCATGTTGTGTCTTATGACACCTGCTTTTTGTTTCTACCCTTTTGGTTTTTGATCCCTTTCTGCGATTTTTTCTTTTAAAAGGCGCTGCGCGTAGGCTGCAACAGCTGACCAGTTTTCTTCTTTTTTGATCATGCAGATTACCAAGCTCTCAGGGGAGAGCGTGGTACCTATTGTTTCTTCGGTGCTGATTCTATCGTCCTTCCACCGATCACACTTGAAAAACGTGTGCTCGGCGTTGTCAATTTTGTCTGGGCAGTATTTGCACGTTGGTGTGCTGTGCAAACTCATCTTGAAAAGATAGGCATTGAACTGCCCATGTCCCATCAATAGCTGGGTCAGAAAGAAGTCCGTGTCTCCGTGCTTTCGAGGAAGCCAGACGTTGATGTTTGGGATCAGGCGCGCTTGTACATCTGCCTGACTCTCCCGATGTCCATCGGTCCTGCCACTCTTGCTGCGTTTCCGCCTTTATCCTCGTTCTTGCGTCCTTCATGTTTTCGTCACTATCTTTAGCGTCATAAAGTTTAGATCTCTCGAACGCTAATAGGTCGATGGGCGTAGCTCCTGCAATGACCAATACAGCCGCTTCGGAAACTGTGCGGTAGGCGCAGGTAACCCTGAGAGCGCCTCGCCGCTGTACTGCTGCTATTTTTCGCCGATAGGTTTTCTGCTTCAATATGTCTGCCCATATCTCCGCTCCATAAAGCAGTACTGAGTGGACTGCTTCTAGAAGAACTCTTCTCTTTTTTGTTCTTGGTCTCATGGTGTTGGTCATAATTCTTGCTAGGCTAGACACCGTCTTGTTGGCTTTCCGGCATGCATTATCGAGGTGTTCGCGAAAAGATAGTTTCTCGTCTATCATTACCCCCAGATAGCGCAGGGCCCTTGTTGACGTTAGTGTTGTTCCTCCCATGTCCACCGTGAATGGTTTTGGGAACCATTTTTGACGAGTCAGAATGACCATCTCGGTTTTGTGCTTGGCAAGTTTCAGGTGGTGTTTATCGAGCCAAGTCTCGACGGCATCAACGGTTTCTCGAACTAGTAGTTCGGCCTCATCTACACTGTCTACTATTATTGTGGCCGCGACGTCGTCTGCAAAGCCCGTTAGCTCTACTTGCTTTGGTAACGGGATTTCAAGAAGGTCGTCGTAGTCCGCGTTCCATAGATCGGGCCCCATTATTGAGTCTTGCGGCACGCCAGCCGTTATGGCGTATTCTTGTGGACCTTCTGTGGTTTCTGCTATTAGCTTTCTTTCGTCAAGGTAGTTGTCGACTAGTCCCGTGAAAAAATATTCTGATCAGACCTGATATCGCCTGATATGGACCGTCCATATCAGGCCTGATATGGAAATTGGCCATATCAGACTTGATATGGCCTGATCAGGGCTGATATGGCCATATTAAGATGTAGACAACCCAGAAGGAGAGATAAAATTTATCATTTCTGATTTTATTTTGTTTTTTAAAAAATATTTATAAAACTAATTCGTAGTTAATATGAAATTTATTTTAGTATTTTTAGTTGTTTGTCCAACTTTATTCAAAAACAGGTAAACTCTGTAATAGAGTAAAAAAATTCTACTCTTTTTGGAACTTAACACTTCAAAGTCAAGTATCTAGAAAAGAACAATTCCGCGACCATGCGCCATCTACCGAAGACTTTTAATACTAAGACGTTTCGACAGTGCGGAACATGTGATTTCTCCATGGTGAAGTCTTAGTAACTAACTAATATGTTGTCAGATTTATAATATTTCATTGATTATTATAATTTTTTCCAAAATTTTCAAATAATTTTAATAATTCATCAATACATAACTGAAAATTAACTTTCATGATAAAAATGTAAATAATACACAAAAGATTTTTTCATTTGACATAATATTGCATAAAACACAATAATAATATCAATTTCATATTGTATTTAAAAAATAAAAAAAAAATTTTACTTTTTGTAAATTTTAAACCAGATAAAAAACGGTAGCCGATTGGTTCTACGACAACAGTAATTTTTTTTTTTTTTAAAGTTTCTTAAAACTGTTGAGTAATTCGAAAAATATATGAAATTCATTTATTTTTACTTAATTGATAAAAAATTAATTTTATAAATAAAAAAATCTAAAATATCAATTTCTCAATTAAAAAATATTTTGTGAAAAAATTGAACAGTACAAAATTAAATAAAGAGTTTTTAGAGCAACTTCGAAATTTTTTTTTTAATTTATTCATTTTATCTTTTTTATAATTTATACCGTAAATCTGCCATAAAATATATTAATTAAAAAAACTTAAAAATGTAAATTTGCCGATTCTTAGACTTAAAAAACCTAGTGACTGTATAACAAAATTATCACTCAGATTTGGCTTTATTTGATACTATTAAGTCAGATCCGGCTTGATAAAATTGTATCAGAACATATCAAAAAATTAGAAAACGGACATATCAAATTATATCAAGCCATATCAGAATATATCAATAAATTATCTATAGATATATCAAATTATATCAGCCCAGATCAAATTATATCAAACCAGATCAAGCCATATCAAGCCTGATCAAGCTTTATCAGGCCTAATATGGCCAATTTGCATATCAGGTCATATCAGGTTATATCAGGACCTATCAAAAATTATACATGGACATATCAGATCATATCAGGCCTGATATGATTATATCAAAAATTTTGATATGGCCATATCAGGACATATCAAGTCTGATCAGAATATTTTTTCACGGGGTGCCAGATTCTCCGACTCCACGTCAAATCTGTGCTCCAGGATGTCCAAAATATCTCTCCAATTTGCGCTGTTAAAGGCATTTCTAATGTCTAGCGTGAGGACAAGACACACCTTGCGGGCTTTGAGGCTACCAGTCCATGCTTCTCTCGCTGTCGCTACGACTTTCTGGATCGCGCCGACTGTTGAACGTCCTTTCCGGAAACCATGTTGGTTTGCGGCAAAACCTCCAGCACGGTCTATGTCGTTGCGGTCTCCCTTGTATGAGCTTTTCGAGCAGTCTTCCAGCAATGTCCAGCATACAGAGTGGTCTAAACGACGAAGGTGTTATGGGGGTTCTCTTACCTTTGTCTAAGAGAACCAATCTCTGCCGTTTCCAGACCGCGGGAAACGTGCCAGTTGCCAAGCATGCGTTGTAGGTGTTCAGGAGTATGTCTGGGTATTCCAGAGCTACAATTTTGATCACCGATGCCGGGATGCCATCAGGTCCAGGTGCCTTTCCTGTTTTGAGTGACTTGGCCGCGTCTTGTAATTCCTTAGTTGTGAAGGGTGTCACTTCGCTGTTCTTAGTGTAGCGTTTCTTTTCCCGCGGCGGGTGTTTGGGGAAAAGCTCCTTTACAATGCTCTCCATCAAGGCAGGAGACTTCGGCGCCTCTGGTGAAGCCTTTCCAAGTCGTTTGGCGACAATTTGGTAGGCTTTACCCCACAGGTCATTGTCAAGATCGTTGCAGATTTCTTTCCACAGTTTCGCTTTACTTGCTTTGATGGCTCAGTTTAGCGTCTTTTTGGCCTGCTTGTACTCTATTGAATATAAGTCCTGGCTTGGGGATTGTTTCGCAGCTCTCGTTGCTCGGCGACGTAGATGATGGCATATTTTGCGAAGTTCTGCTATGTCTGCTGACCACCAGTTCGCCGGCCTGTGAAAACTCTGATTTTTCAGCCGCGGCATAGAGGCGTCACATGCGGCAGCAATTTCCTTCATCGTTTTTAGCACTGCCTTTTTCGTCTCGCTGCAGGGTGTGTGTGTGTGTGTGTGTGTGTGTGTGTGTGTGTGTGTGTGTGTGTGTGTGTGTGTGTGTGTGTGTGTGTGTGTGAAAAATCTCAAAAAAACTAAGAAAAAAAATTAGTAGGACGGTTGACCCTAAAGGACACCCTTGCAACTTCCCGCTCATTTTGTACTATATTATTTTTATAATCGATTAAAATAATAAAATGACTTCTTACACAACGAACAACGAATAATCGCTTATTTATTACATTCCGGAATTTCACAGTGAAGATTACCTCCATCTCCAAACTCAAAACTCATAGAATTTTAGGTTTGAATTTGAATTTATTTGGTTTTGTCTCAACGTAACTTTTGAACCAAGAATATTGAAAGACCATAGGCCGATAAGTATAGTGAATCGGCCCCAGAAAGATATCTGGCTTATAATTTCAGGGTATGTTGGTACTTATAAGATACTTCGATACTGCAAGTTTCAGCTCTTCATCTAATACCGTTTTCGAGAAAATCGAAAAAAGCTGAAATTCAGAAAAAAATGATTTTCTCAGAAACCCGTGAGCCGATTGATTTGAATTTTTAATATGTTTTGGGGGATGATGGTAGCTTCTAGGAAAAAAAATTATGAGCTATATTGGTTCATAAGAACCTCGAAAAAAATGACGTTTTTCTTTTAATTTTAATTTTTAACTATGATAGAGTTCTGGCACAATTATGAAACTATTTTTTTTTAATTCCTCATCCAATTTCCTGTGGAATTATGACTTTTACGAATATTAACAAATGGTACGCCATGTTGAAAAAAAATAGAAAACCATTTTTTTATTCAAAAATCAAATTATTTTAATGTTTTTATTCAATGAACAGCAGGAATGGTGCTCACTCAAATATTATTCTCGATTATGTATTCGATAACTACGTTTTAATTAATATTATTGTTCCCGCATAATAATTAGTTCATTAAGTAACTGTAAGATGGCACTGTTATTACAAATTTGTAGCGGGTTTTTACTGCTACTAATAAATAAAAGGATGATCAGTAAATTCGCGGTCTGATAAACTTTATTCTAAACAAACACTTATTTTAAATAATTACATTTTAAATAAATAGGCTTTTAGTAAGCTACAGCTGTAGCGCGTAATGTCGGTTGGTTAATAATATAATAATCATAATTTGTAGGCGGGAATGACTGTAATGTTTTCTCTCGTCGTTGGTGGTGCTGAGGTATTTTTGGTTCGGTGTAAGGCCGCTGAGGCGTGAGAGAGGCAACCGGACCGCCACAACCACTCCCCCCTGAGTGAACTTCCGCGGGAACTTTGAACGTTACTTTGCGCTGGTACGTTCGTTGAGGTCTGTCCATGACGGAGCCCCAGTGTTCTTGCGGCTGACTAGGTTGTGAAGTTGACGTCTCAGGCTCGGGTGGAAAATCGTCGTCGTTCTTGGAGATGTAAGCTGGTTTCAGTCGTTCAATCGAGATATTTTTTTCTTCTCCATTGATGTCCAACTTGTAGATCCGATCCGAGACTCGTTGTATTATTTTATAAGGTCCAATGTATGGTGCTTCAAGAGGTGCCTTGACATGATCACATCGTACGAAGACGTGTGAACATGTGTC